GGATGGAATCTCTTATGAGAAGCTATATCTATAAAACAAAAATGGATCAAGACATTGAAAAATTAGTAAAAGCCTGCAGAGGTTATGCTCTGGCAGCAAAATCACCTACCATGAAATTACAATCTTGGCTAAAGACAGATACTCTGTGATCAAGACTGCACATTGATTCTGTAGGTCCAGTAAACATATCACATTATCTTGTGGTAGTGGATGCCTTTATGAAGTGGCATGAAATTTGTAAGTGTAAAAAAAACAATTACCATAGTTACAGTGAATTTTTTACACAAACTGTTTGCAAGACATAGCATTCCAGATGCCATAGTCTTGGGTAATGGTACACAAGTTACTGCTTATGAATTTAAAGAATTTTGTAAAATGTTCTTGATTGAACATATTACTACCCTACCATATCACCCGGGTTCAAACAGACAGGCTGAACAGTTTGTGGGTATCTTTAAGAGAACTAAGAAAAAAAAGAAGTAATAAAAATGTGTGTGAAGGAAACAAAATTCTTAAGAGTATTGCCGAATCCCAACAGGTATGTCACTGGAAGAATTGATGTTTGAAAGAAAAATTTAATCGTTGTTTGACAAGTTATCAGGTCAAATAGAATAAGAGCAAATAATAAAAAGGGCATAAAATTTTTCAAAATTGGCAAAGAAGTATTTTTCAGAGTATATAAAACAGATAAGAAATGTGGTAAAATGATATAATGAGTTCATGAATTGGAAGAATGATATATATAGTGAAAGGCAATAGAATCAGTTAAAGAAAAGGTTTACTGAAGAAAGGCCTAGAATAAAGGTAATACCAATATTTTTGATGCACCAATACCCCAAGTATTTGTTGAGTATACAAGGATGACTACCAGTCAAAGGAAATGTAGAGAAAAACTAGAGGTTGACCCCAAATGAATGAAATACAAAGTTCAGTATATGGCAAACTCACCATGAAGAGTGCGGGATGAATACTAAAAAATAAAATAAAATATTAAATAGTCAAGATGTTGTGGAGTAAATAAGATATCTCTAGTAACACAAATGAACTAGGCAAGATGCCTTAAATAAAGAAATCAAAGTGAGTTAGTAGAAGTCTGTTGGAGTCAGTTGAGGAGAAAGAATTGATAATGTCATAGCAAGTAGCCTTAGCAAGACATAATATTATAACCGCTAGGAGTGAGTTATAACAAGAAATCACTGTTTGGTAGAAAATGCGTAATGTAGAAGTTTGATTTTTTTTTTTTTGCCATTTTGTGATTCAGTTGTCCATATGTACAAGGTCTATCTGAAAAGTAATAAGTCTGGCAGTGCTGTGTAAGCTATTTGGTATTGCCCATAGTGAGTTCTTGCCATAGGGCCAGATGATCAATCAGCAAGTCTACAAAGTTTGCTTCAGTCAGTACACAAGAAGAGATGAGAGTTGTGGCAGGACAAATCGTAGCTACTTCACCAAGGCAATGCACCTGCTAACAACACCTTGGGCATCCAGCAGTTCCTGGCCAAGAAGAACATTGATAACTTGGAACAACATCCCTATTCACCTGATCTTGTTCTGTATGACTTTTTCTTCTCTGCAAGCTAAAGGGGATTATTAACAGGACTCGTTTTGAAGGCATGGAGGCCATCAAGAGGGTCATAATGATGGAGCTGAGGTACATCCAAGGAGAAACCTTCTAGCAGTGTATAGAAGTGTGGCAAAGAAGGATGGAAAAGTGCATTAGACTCAAGGGGGATTACTTTGAAGGTGAAACTGTGTAGTTTGGAATTTAAATAAATTATTTGTGGTACACCTCGCATGACTTTTCAGATAGACATTGTATATATATATATATATATATATATATATACATATATATACATACACACCAGTTGGAATAGCAAAATTGTCCAATTGTTAGATTAAGTTTTGAACTGTTGCATTTTAGAAATGATTAAAAATATCTTACTGGAATTCTTTGAGGTTTTTATAACACTGTTGAACTCTATTTTAAGCAATAAGAATGTATAATTACCCTACAAGAAATTTATGGAATTACACAGTATTTGGCTGCTTGTTTTGTAGAAATACCAGATTTTACAGAAATATTTGCTTTCAATTTGTATATTGCTGCTTGCTTTGTGTATGTTTTTATTGACATACAGGTATTGGAATTTGCTTTTCTGCATGCATGGTAGGGGACTTAATTTACTAACAAGTACCATATTTCTGTTTGTTTGCCTACTACCATATGTACCAGTGTTCATTGATATCAGTAGATTTCTTTGTAGCTATTATGAATTTACTGTATGTGAAGATGTTGCCCCTTGAAAAACAATTATCAATAAATGCATAATAAATGTACTAAAATTCTTCTTTTCCTGATAATTAAACCTTACTGGACTTTTATTAAAAAAAAGTACAGTAATATAGTTTGTGCTAATTTTGTGTTTCTTCGTAGTTAGTGAGAATGTCACATAAAGGTAAGGTTATAATTTGGATGATTTTGGTTGTGATGTGTGGATTATTTTCATAAATATTCCATGCCAAAATCTTGGTACTTATGATGCATGGATGTGTCCAACTGGCCAGTAAATACAAATATATATATATATATATATATATATATATATATATATATATATATTGTTGTAATCTCAATAAAGGTTACTGAATTAGGAATAACCAAAACGGAGGTTGGAAATGAAATGGTAATCTTTATAACATCAACAAAATACAATACTCACCAGCGCTGTGAAGTAGGTAAACCACTGCTAGTTGTGGTCTACTTAGACAGCATATTACCCACAACTTACAGTAGTATCCAACGTATTTATAAGGATTGGGACATACACATTAGTGTTCATAGGTACAGCATATAACCCCCCCCCACCATTTTTTAGATTTACTCTGCACAAAATCAATATCACATCCTCATCGGCAAAATGTTGTAACCTAGGAAAGATTATTGAATGAGGACTAACCAAAACAGAGGTTGGAAATGAAATGGTGATATTTATAACATCAACAAAATACAATACTCGCCAGCAGCGTGAAGTAGGTAAACCACTGCTAATGGTGAACTACTTAGACAGCATATTACTCCACTCTTATAATAGTTTTCAACGTATTTATGAAGATTGGGACATACCCATTATTGTTCATAGGTACAGTATGTAACATATATATAAAGAGTGTTTCATTAAGACAAATTATATATAAGGGTGTTTCATTAAGACGGATCAAAGTCAGCAGTAAATAAATCAGTGTTCTTGGTGAAAATTTATTTATTTCTCCATTGGGTCATGTTATTTAAGTCAAGACAATTATATGTGAAAGATAATATCGGGCAAATGTCGACAAAATCTGAAAGAAAAAGAAAAAATCATTTGATGTTTAAACTTAATTAACATTTAAAATTAGTTCAAGATATTGGAACACCCTTTTATTTATTAACTACAAAGGACAGAGAATTGTACGGAACCATGATGGCCAACATCCTGAAGGAACGCATAGATGACATCAATCATGTGACCTATAATTTTGAGTGGGTGGCTGGATTAACAGGAAAGACATGTTATAAATTTATTTTCGTAATAGGCTTCAATAACTTTAACTCATTGTCTGATAGTTAATCTTTCCATGGTCGAAATTGCCAAAGACTTAAGTTGTTAAATCTCAAAGAAAAAGAAAAAAAATCATTAGATATTTAAACTTAATTAACATTTAAAATTAGTTCAAGTTATTGGAACACTGTTTATATACAGTGGCTATACTTTTGACGATAGGCTGTCAAATGCTGATCTTCTTGCAACATTAGTGGAATCGAGACTTTCCAGATGCAGTCATAACTTTGCCGGGCAGGTCATGTTGCAAGGATTAGGGGTGACATTATACCTAAGGTCCCCATGTATAGCCACCTTGACAGGGGACAAAGGACTGTTGGACAGCCGTGGCTCAGTTATAAAGACAAGCTAAAAAGTATCCTCTAAGCTGTCAATGTGTCTCATAATAACTTTGAGCATGTTGCCTTGGATAGAATTAACTGTAGATATTTGTGCCAGAGTGGTATCAGAAATTTCGAAATCAGTCATATTGATTGGATAAGAGATGAAAGAAAACTGTGAAAATTGTCAACAAATATTCCTGTTATTACGTTCGAAGATCCTTGCTGTTGCGGACTTGTAAGTAGATCACTAGCAGGACTGAAGTGTTACATATGACACAAACTTAAAAACTGAATGAGGTTGTTGGATCCGCATACATTGAAATCAATGGGACAGTGCATGATATATATATATATATATATAAAGTGGTCTGTTTTTCATTAAATAATTATATATATATATATATATATATATATATATATATATATATATATTTATTTATACATATATAGGGAATAGGTTATAGTTGTTCCAACAAGAGAAAACTATATATTAAAAAGAAGAGAGAATGTCATTGGTAATATAATGCAATAGCTGACAATCAAAGGCTTACAACCTTGTCAGGTTGAAACTCCAAAGTTAAGCAACATCAAGCCTGATCAGTATCTAGGTGCAAATATTATGTGGTGTATACTGAGATGTGCAGGTGCTGTACTCAGCTTATGACCACCAATGAAACCTGTGTTTCTATATGATCACCAATGTTAAGTAAACACAAGCCTAGTCAGTACCTATATAGGTGACCATTTGGGAGTATCAGGTGCTAAAGCTTGGACATGCAGGTGGTGTAAGCAGCTTATGGCTACATGTTGAAACGCTGGTTCCTGTACAATCACCAAAGTTAAGCAACACCAAGACTGGTGAGTACCTAGATGGGTGACTGTTTGTGAATACCAGGTGCTAAATTTTGGACATGCAGGTGGTGTAAGCGGCTTATGGCTACATCATGTTGAAACACTGGTTCCTGTACAATCACCAAAGTTAAGCAACACCAAGACTGGTGAGTACTTAGATGGGTGACTGTTTGTGAATACCAGGTGCTAAATTTTGGACATGCAGGTGGTGTAAGTGGCTTATGGCTACATCATATTGAAATGCTGGTTCCTGTACAATCACTGAAGTTAAGCAACACCAAGACTGGTTTGTACCTGGATGGGTGACTGCTTGGGAGTACCAGGTGCTGTAATCTTGGATGTGTGGTGGTGTAAATGGATAATGGCTCAGAATTTTTAATGGGAGAATTAAGTTCCAGTTACAGCTGCATTTATTATATTCACTTAAATGCAAAAACTATTGAGAAAGGTATCAGTCCACCTCTTCTCCCCCAGCTATGGGTTAAATGGTAAGACTTGTATCATTAAACCAAAGTATCTCCAAAAATAAAATAAAATTGTTCACAAAATATTTAGATTTCAGTTTTAAATAACTTGCAAAGGGTTCATTTGTTGCTATAAACAACCAATATTGGCTGACAATAGAATCTCTAGTGGCAAAATTTTTAGACATTTTTTTAGAAAAATTACCATACCAATGATTTGCCAAAAAATTTCAAAATTGCTTTTCAAGGAAGAGTAGGAGGTTGGTTGATCCTCAATCATGATTATAAAACAAATTGGAAAATTAAAACAAAAAGCAATATGAGATAAACTGATTTAAGAAGATAATGTATAATATGTAGAAAAATCACCTTTATTTAAATTTTCTTGTTCTATAGTTCATAGATATTTTTATAAAATTATGAATAAAAAATAGTTTTCATGTTTATTTATAAAATGGTAAATAAATAATGTATTATACTTGGTTTACATATTAGTAATTTTGTAGGGTTTCATAATTTCTTGGGAAAAGATTTTTTTAAAATTTATTTCTCTATAAAATGGTAAACAATAAATATTGCACTGTACTTGGTTCACCTATTTTATATTCTTATATATAAACAATTCTGAGGCAGTCTCAGTCGTATAACAGTCATGGTCGTGTCAGTGGAAAAAAAAAAACATCTTTTGAAACATTGCTTTTTTGCAGGCATGGAGGTTAAACTTTGCCAACTTATCTCTCATGTTAGAACAATTGTAGATTCAATTCATTTTTATTGTCCAGAGAGAATGAAAGTAACTCAAGAAAATATTCTTGTTGATAATCAAAATTTGATGAATAAATACTATATTTGCTGGAATAAAAGGCGATATATATATTTGTTTTTAAATGTTGCAAACAGGTTCTATATAATAATAACCATCCTACAAACAAAGAAAAGTTGTCATAGAAGCATTTTTACCTCTCTAAAATGTCTGTATAAACAATTTCAACAAGAAATTTATTTTCCAAATTTGTTAAATTGTATCAAATAAAACCATGGATTTAAAAAAAATACACACAAATATGAACTTAGTTTATTTCAATATTTCTATTTAAATATTTTTATAGCTTATTTAGTGTGAAACCTGTGACTGGTGTTTTTCACAATTTCTTCAATGTTTGGTCAAATGTGTGATAAACAGACCCACTTTTTCAGTTGAGTGTAGTCTTTCTTGCTTCTTATTTTTGATGTTATTTAGGGTCGAGAAGCTTTGACAATATTAATTCCTAATTTGATATAACTTTGTAAAAATTTTGAATTAAACAAAGAACATTGAATACAGTTGTATCAAAAAAGGATTAATATTCATTTATTCAAATAAAGGAAAACTTTACAAAGTTAAATGGTGCCAAATAAAACTATGTATTTTTAAAAAAACTACACACCAAGAAATGAATTTATTTTATTTCAATGTTTCTATTCAACTATTTGTGCAGCTTATTTAGTATAAAACCTGAACCTGGTGTTTCTTCACAATTTCTTCAATGTTTGGATGAATGTGTGATAAGCAGACCTTCATTTCTTTTTCAGTTGAGCGTAGTCTTTCTCTCTTCTTATTTTTTATATTATTTAGGGTTGAAAAGCCTAACTCACATAAATAAGAAGTAGAAAGTTACAATAAAACTGATTTTTGTAATGCTCGTTTGAGAGACAATAATAGTAATGCCTTCAAACAATACTCAGTCAGATGCCGCTAATTCCCATATATATATATATATATATATATATATATATATATATATATTCCTTTATCTATAACATGATCTAATTATTTCAAGTTGAGGTTGACTATGTTTGCTCTCTGGTGACCTGTGTTCAAACCCAAGTGTTGGCAGTGACACTTTATTCCTATATGACACTGCTAAAGACATTTTAGCTAATGTGGGATAAAAGTTTAATACTTATTCATTTATTCAAATACTAACATGGTACCATTACTATTTATATACACACACACACACATAGTGTTAGTTTAGTGTTTCTCAACCATTTTAAGCAACAACACTTGAGCAAATGAAAATATAATGACAGACTTAGCAAAATTTTTAAAGGGTATAAGTTTAAATGTTATGAAATAAAACCATAGATTTAAATAATGCACACACAAATATGAACTTACTTTATTTCAGTGTTTCTATTCGACTATTTGTGCAACTTATTTAGTATAAAACCTGAACCTGGTGTTCTTCTTTTTTTGTTTTTGTGATTTCTTCAATGTTTGGTTGAGTGTACAATAAGCAGACAGACTCTTATTTCTTCTCATTTAATACTTATTCATTAATTCAAATACTAATGCTATACTATTACTACTTCCACACACACACACATATATATATATATATATATATATATATGTATTTTGACAGGTAATCAATATTTTATTAACTAGCCAAATATCTGTCCTGCAAACAGAGAAAAGATTAGTCATAAAAGTTCTCTTAACATTCTAAATTTTCTGTATGAACAACAATTTCAACAAGACATTTATTTTCTAAATTTCTTTTTGTCATTATGCTAAATAAACTTAAACTTAGTCTGAACATGGCTACAATAGAGCTGAAAATGACAGAAGAAATTTGAGTCATCATCTGTAATGTTTATACTAAAAATATTAATATTAGGTTGGTGCAAAAATAATGACGTAATAATGTCGTTTTTTGACGTATTTTTTAACGTCAAAAAATGACATTCTTACGTCATTACTTTTGCACCAACCTAATAAAAATAAATTCAGCAAACATACTATTTTTCACTTGTGTTGTAGCATACCTATGGAGGATAATGTGTGTGTCCCCAATCAAATAAATACAGTAGTAAATACTGCATGTTGGTCTGCAGTTGGAGATTCATCTCCAGCTGTGCTGGTCAAACTCTCTGCCTCCAGGCAGAGAGGATCCCTAGATGAGGCTATGTCATAGGGCAGAGTCTCGTCTCAGGAAACAGGTACCTGACCCTGTTTTATATGGGGTCTACGGGGAATTTTTGACCGAGCATATGAGCATGGATACCCCACATTAAATTCGGCTTGTGCCACATCTGACCATGTGGGGCAGTTGGTAGATATCCTGCAGTTGGAGATTCATTGTGGAATTCACTTGACTCACTTCTAGCAGTTGACTACTTCTTCTACATGCTGCTAGTGAATCTTATATGTGTTGTTCATGCCCTAAGAATTATCATTCATTACCAACCTTCATTTGATTATTCTTTTAAGTAACTTTTCCTGGGTTACAACAACTTGTTTAAAGAAATCAGTACAGGTTTAAGAAAATCTATTACTTATTTAGATAATACCATAAAGATTTTATTTGGCTCCATTTACTAATTTTTTATTATGTGAAATGTCAGACAACAACAATGGTTATACAAATGCTGCAGGAATTAACACCATTACTAATGTTGCCAAGCCTAAAATTACAGAATTCTATAAAAATTCCTAGAATTGTAAAATTATTTACACTATGTTTGTTTCTTTAAAAAATTATTTTATAAGCCAAGATGTTTTATGTTTTATTTAAATATAAATAGACTGTCAAAGTTCAGTCGTAATTTAGCAAAACAGATATAAATTGACTCTGATTTTCTTGGACCAGCCAAATACCCATCCTACCACCATTCTTAATAGAATTACCTTTGTTTTTAGTCATTTTACCACAAGTAATCCAATAAAGCTGCTAGTATACAAGTGGTTACTGAAAAAGAATATGTGAAGAATCTTGTGCTTATGTCTTCTTTACCATTTTCTCAACTGTTCTTAACATCACTAGCATCATCGTCAGAGTTCCCTCTCTCCACTAGCAAGCAATATAGCTGCTTATATAGTAAGCGTCAGATGTTAATACATTTGCATAAGTGTGATGTCCATTTTATAAAATGACGGCCATTGCACATGCATGTCAGTAGGCCTTGAACTAGGTTTTCTACTACAACAGAAGCAACTTGAACACACTTCGCATTACTTGCCTCCAGGGTAAGTTAAGTAACAGTCTAACTCTCTCTTTCAGGCAGAGAGGAACCCGGACGAGGCTCCACCGAAGGGCAGAGTCTCGTTCGGGGAGGTTGACTGTCCTTGAACCCGTTTATGTGGGTTCAAAGAGGGAATATTTTTGGCTGAGCCTACGGGCTTGGAAATCCCATGTTAAACCCGGCCTTGTGCCATATGTAACCCTCGTGTGTGTGTGTGTGGGGGGGGGCTAAATATTACTTCACATTACGTAAGCTAAATCTGCTTTACTACAAAAAAATAATATTAAGGAGAGAAGACAATAAAAGAATAAATCGACAGAAAATAACGAATGACATTGCATTTAAATTTTGGAAGATCAAAGTTGACTGGGAAGTATCAAGTCGGATGAGATTTCCACAAGTGCGGGAGAAGAAATTGTTAGCATAGAAAGTTAGTTATGGTTTTATGTAGCTTTGTTGGGATGTTTTATAGTTTTATATTTAGATATAAAGTTTGATTTCCTTTTCAGTTCTATTGGGTTGGTGCATAATTATCAGGCGTTTTTAAACAATATTTATTAGGAAAAAAGAAACGTAACAATTCAACAATAACATTTTAAATGATTATTCTAGATCATATGATTATGAATGCAAATTTTTATAACCTGAAAATAAAATTTTATTAAAAAAAGTAAACAAAACAGGAATTTTTATTGACAACTCACCTACAAAAACGCCTGATAATTATTCACCAACCCAATATATATTAAATCAGTCACCAAAAAATTTGAAGTAGTTCTTTTTTTTTCTTTTTCTTAGTTGAAACCGGCTTTTATAAAGAATCATTTCTGCATAAAAAAACATTTTCAGCAAGACATCTAT